CGACAACAACAACGACAACGACAACGACAACGACAACGACAACGACAACGACAACGACAACGACAACGACAACGACGACGACGACGACGACGACGACCACAACAACAACAACAACAACAACAACAACAACAACAACAACAACAACAGCAGCAACAACAACAACAACAACCACAACCATCACCACAACCACAACCACAACCACAACCGCAACCACAACATCCACAACATCCACAACATCCACAGCAACCGCAGCAACCATAACCACAACCACAACCACAACCACGACCAACCAACCACCCACCCACCCACCCACAAACCAACCAACAACCCCAACAACACGCAAACAACCAACAAGCGACCGGCAACCAACAACAAGCGACAAGTGGCAGCAATAAACCACAAGCGTCAACCAACAAACGACAACTGGCAACCAACCAACAACCAACAACCAATCAACCTACCGACTCACCAACCTACCTACCTACCCACCCCCCAACCAGCACCCCAACCACAGCACAACAACCACAACTACAGCCGCAACCACAAACCGAACAACAGAAGAAGACAAATCAAACAGCAGATCTCAGGGATGATCGGAAGGTCGAGCGAGCACGGCAGGGCGGCCCGACACCGCTTTACCCAAATTTGACCCAAGCCATTTGGCCCCCCCTCCCCCCACCCCCTGATTGCTAAGGTGTAGGGCCTCCAACATGTTGAAACAGGAGATGCTTTTCAACTGAATCTAGAAACTATCGGTCAACCCTACCCTGACTAGCTTTACCTCGCACCCACGTCAGCCCCGCCTTCTCCAACCCTAAGAAGCGTCACTAACCACTTAGCCGTCCACCCCCAACCCATGTAAGCAAGGTTTTCAAAGCCTCCGGAGCAGACCACCCGGAACCTGCGGAACCTGCCTTGAACCTTACACCTGGCCTGCACCAGACCACCTGGCCTGCACGAAATTTGCGGAACCTTCCTTGAACCATACCTGGCCTGCACCAGACCACCCCGGAACCGGAACCTGCCTTGAACCTTACACCCTGACCAGACCACCCGGAACCTCCACAACCTGCACCACACCACCCGGAACTTCGAACCTTACAGCGAAAGCTCCGGAACCTTCCTTGAACCTTCCTTGAACCCTACGCCTGCACCAGACCACCGCGAAACCTCCGGAACCTTCCTTGAACCTTACGCCTGCACCAGACCACCGCGAAACCTCCGGAACCTTCCTTGAACCTTACCCGCCTTAACCGGGAACCTCCCAAACCTTCCTGACCTCACCCAGACCACACACCTGCACCAGACCACCCCGGAACCTCCGGAACCTGCCTTGAACCTTACACCTGGCCAGAGCACCCCGAACCTCCGGAACCTTCCTTGAAGTTAGACCTGGCCAGACCACCCCGGAACCTCCGGAACCTGCCTTGAACCTTACACCTGGCCAGAGCACCCCGGAACCTCCGGAACCTGCGGAACCTTGCTCCAACCTCACTCCAGAGCTCCCCCAAGCCACCCCCAAACCTTATCTGGGCTGAAGCTTTCAGCTGTTGGGGGGAGAAAAAACACGCGGCCCATTTGTCCATCGCCCGACCTCCTTCTCCACCTCCACCAGGGCCCAGTCCGCCGCCCTACTGCCGAAGGTGCGCGGCACGACCTGCAGAAGGAGGATGGCCAGGAGGGCCAGCAGCGACGCCAGCGTGGCCAGGCCCACGAGGACGGTGACATCCATGGCCGATCGCCTCGCAGAGACTTGGAGACACTTGGCCACGGATGTCAACACCCCTTTTTGCCCCAGTGAACATCCCAATCCCCACCAAAATCGGTTCTAAAATGGGTGGGGCACCTTGACATCCATGACCAGACACTTGAGTCATAATCAAAACCCGGTATTAAAATGGTCGTAATCCCAGAGCCATGTAAAGAATTAAGAGGCCATGTAAAGAATCTTGAAGGCGGCCGCAGCTATTTGTGGTGGGAATTGTCGCTTACTAACCTTCATCTACCCAAGTTTTGATTGGGGCTCACTCAACCGATCACCTTGGTCAGAGACTTGGAGACACTTAGTCTTCGTGCGCAAATCGGGGGTGTTGTGGGTTTCGTGGGGAATCAGACCACTGTTGGAGGGGCCAAAAACCACCCCCCTATTACTAGACTGGGGTTGGTTAACATGAGCATGGGTCAAAACCCCTTGTTGCCCCTGTGAACATCCCAATCCCCACTAAAATAGGTTCTGAAACGGGTCCACGGGTGGTGCACCTATCCCAACATGGTACCATTGGCTTTGAGCCATGGCCACTTTTTTGTCGTGCGCACATTGATTCGCGCAGAAAATGCGACTCTCGCCCTTGTCAAAGACCTCCAAAGGACCTGAAATCTTGAGAGGTCTCACACCCCGAGGGCACAACTCTGGAACCTTTGCCGCTCGCTTGCACTTGTGGAAAATAGAAAAGAAACACCCGAACCAAATCAAAGGCACCATGGTTTCTTTTGTCACTTCGGGGGCACAAGCCCGCAGTTTGGATGGTTCGTTGGGAGGAAAATGGGAAGAGTGAAGAAGGGGCTGAGCGCGGATGAGTTTGAAGACCCCTGGTCTGGTCAATCAATAGAGGTCGACCCATTTTAGAGCTGATGCTTGCATCACTTTTGGGGAAGTACTATGAACTCGCCGGGTTCTTTTTTGAAAATCCGGGGTGGACCTTGTCGGCTTGTCCCAAAATAGAATGATGGGCTTCGTCCGACTCACAAGGCAATCCAATACTGATTCAGAGCCGGGCTGTGTCTGGGGCCTATCAAGCTTGGAAGACCCAAACATACCCTACGAAAAGGACGGTCACCCACCTCCCGTGTTTCACGTTAAAATGGAAATGTGTTCCTTTTGGTTTCCTTGCAAAATCAGTCGTATTTGTCCCTCTGCCCTGCTTGGCTCCCTTGCGCGGGCTCCAAACAGTGCATGAAACAAGCAAATGCCCCTTTGATGGCTTCATTTTGGGAGGGAGAAGTGAAATTCACAGAAAAGCGCAGGAACTACCAAAAGAAAAGCCAAGTTTGGTTGGTTCGTCGTAAAAGAGAGACAAGGCAAGTAAGACAAAACGAGACAAGACAAGACTGAGACAACGAACAAACCAACCAAACAAACTACCAACCAACCAACCAACCAACCAACCAACCAACCAACCAACCAACCAACAAACAAACAAACAAACAAACAAACAAACAAACAAACAAACAACAGGGTTTCACACATCGAACGCAATCCTTCAAAAACGAGAGACGGGATACATCCAAGGCCCCCGATTGAAATGTAAGCCCGCCCAACGACACTGCGAAAGCGAAAACAGGGTGCATCACCCTTGGGTTGGCTTTATTCACGAGGGAGACCCGGCCCCCACAGAAACAAAGCAAGACGCGAGGCACTTTTAACCCCGCCTGCTGCAACCCGTTACCTCGGAGCCCTCAACCAGAGCACGTGCGGAATCGAGGTTTGAGCCAAATCTGGGCGCGAAGTCTGGCACCGATCAGGAGCCAGGCGATGACAATCAGGACTTTGGAGACGGGCCCCCGAGGTCTTGCAAGTCGGGCCGGAAAAGCGCAGCCAAGGGCAAGTTTGAGGCTCTTTGATTCAAGGGAACCAAGAGGAAGTCCAAAGGCCAAGGCGCAGGTCCCGCATTTGCGACCCACCCGTGCCGCAAAAAAAAGAGGGCATGAAACAAACACTTGTGCAACAAGCTAGTTCTACACTAAGGTGGGGCCAACAACCCTTCAAACCGCTTTGCTTAATCATCCACTCATGTGAACTCCTGTCAAATATACTTGCTTCCCCAAACAAGACATTGGACATTTAAGTGAGTCCCCTGGTTTGTGCAGAAATTCAGTGAGTCGCCCATGTCCCTCCCGCATGAACTCTTCTGGAACATTTGACCGAATCAGGGGTTCATGGCCACTGTCAGCCCCTTTCTTTGGAGCTTTCACTGCCGTCTGGCCCCGTCTGGCCCCACTCTCTCCGGTCTCCTGCACTTGCCGGCGGCACCGCTCTGGCAGCAGCAAGCCCACACCCCTTCGCCCAAGCGCCGAGGGAACGCGGTGACCTTCGGCTGGAACCTCACAGATGACGTGACCGATAATGTTGTTGAGAGGGCGAGGGCGAACTTGCTGGCTCTGAGTAGGCATCAACAAATGTGTTAGGCCCCTGAAAGAAATTCACAAGGGATGGCTCATAGACTCACAAAAAAGGTCATTCCCTGGTTCCCTCATTCCCTCCTGAGAACCAGATGTCTTGGGAATGAACCGGACCCCTCGAAGAAATCCATTCCCTCATTCCCTGAGAACCAATCCCTGAAAGCCAATCCCTGAGAACCAATCACTGCTGACAACCAATCCCTACTAAGAACCAATCCATACTAAGAACCAATCCCTCCGAAGAAGTCCAGCCAGCAAAAGCGAGGGGGGGAAAATGGCGAGGGATGAGTCCGGCCATGGAACTTGGCCACTGAGGAGGCATCCACCTCGGCGCCCATCTCCTCCTAGCACCCGAGCTCAGATTGGTTGGCGGCTGGATCTCTGCCTGGTTTTTGGATGGTTTGTTCTTGTCTGTTAAAAGAAAAGTGTTGTTTTTTCCTTTTATGGTTTCTTTCACTATTTTGTTTTTTGGGGGGAGAGGGGGGGGAGAATCATGAAAAACTCTCATTGACCTGTTTGGCAACATGATGAAACGTGCAGGGACCTCTGAGTCGCCTCACCTACCCCCCCTGCCACCTTTCCCCCCTCCTGCAGCTGGCGGATGCTCTGCTGGAGCTCGGAGATGAGGGGCGCCAGCTCCGCGTCCACCACTTTCTGAGCCTGGCGTTGAGGCGCCGACCAAAAGCTGAGGCAAGCGCGGGAAAACCGGCGGCGCGAGCTCAACCAAAAGCTGGGTCAACGAAAATGGTTGTTTGCAAAAGGGCCGAAATGAAGGAAAACCGGTTGAGAACGGCACAAAACGGCCAGATGTGAGAACCTGAATGTTGCAAAAAGATCCTCCCGAAGTCCAAAGGCCAGGCTTGGTTGAACCCAAAACGACTAAGGAAAAAAGAGAGAAATGAAAACCATCGCCTTGCCTTTGGCCTGTGATGCCTTGTCGCGCATCCTCATGCATGAAGTCATTTGTTTCGATTGTCCTGCAAGCGCCATTATCACATTCTACATTCATACTTGTTGCTCTTATTTTCACAACCTCACCTCAGTGGCTTGGCATGATGATGTTCAATTATTTCATCCAACCTCAAAGACTTGTTTTCTAAAACCGTGCGCAACCAGATTTTCCTCCAAGGCTCAGAAGTCGATCGACTCACTGACAACCGCAGCTTCTTGGTGCTTGAATTGGTGGAGGTTAGGGGTGGTTTCCCATGTACCCTCTAAGACAGGGGTTCATTACTCGAAACCGATCCAAAGCCTTGAATCTTAGGGCTCGCCCTCCGCGCCACATCTCCGGACGTCCCTCTCCGCGCCTCCGTCAGCGCCGGCTTCCAGTTCGTTGCCTTGCCCTTGTCGCAGCCGCAGAACTTCCCGCCGGTCAGGGACGCATGCACCCCCGCGCCGCTGCACTGAGGGTCCGCCGCGATGCTGATGTTCGGCAGCGACACCTGGAGGAAATCCTCGTTTACCCCGAAGCTTTGACATGCTTCGAAGCTCGGAAAAGCTTTCGGCCAACTACCTAAACTGACCACCCAGGCTTTCGGCAGATTCAAAGAAATCGAAGGAGCTCGGCAGCGCCTTGGGTGCAAGGACGCCCTGCTTGTTGTCGCAGCCACAGCTGACGGGGCTTTCCAAACCTGCATCGAATGCGGAAGGAGCCTGATCGCCAAAGAACACACGTGGCACGCTTCCAGAATGGCTGCCATCTTGCTGCACCATGTGCTTCCCAAACTTGGGGAACGCGGCTGGGTTTCCTTTTCGGATCTCCCTCTTAGCACAGAGGGTTTGCCATGTTGCGACACACTGCAGCTGAGCACCACCTGAGTACAAATCGTCTGAAAGTGTGCCATGGGTTTATGCATTATTTCACCGCCATTCAACCTGTACGCCCGGTCTCTGCCACCAGGGGCAAGTTAGTGCAAGCTTGCCAACCAACAAATTGATCCTACCAAACATAGGTGTCTCCTTTTTGAGGGGATCCCCAAAATGGTGGGTTTCCCTGGAAACTATCCAAGAAGGGGTACCCTCAAAAACAACATTCAGATTTTTCTTCCGCTTGCCCTCCCGGTCCCTGCGCCTCCTGTGCTCAGATCGGCGAGGCCGCGCGGGACCACGAGGAGAAACGCCCAGAGCATGAAGCAGGGAGTGCACAAACCACGGGACTTGGTAACTGTCGAGCCGGCTGGGCTCGCCAAACGGATCAGCCAAAAGCTGGGGCGACGAAAAAAAAAACAAGGTTGAAGGGCAGCTGTGAAGAAAGGAAATAGGCAACGTGAGGGTTGGCCCCGGAAAACAAAAATGAAAGGCCTTGCTGGGATGCAAGCAAGCAGGATTGTTGGAAAGGCTGAGCATGAATGGCACAAACACCGGGTCTTAGAGCGGTTGCAGAACTCCTGACCAATTTCCGTCCAGAAGGTCGTTTGTGAGGTTCAGGGATAGGCTCCTGACACTGCTGAAGAAAATGGGGAACAACCGCGATTGACCGGGGCTGTACGGTTGGATGCGGTTGGTTCACGTTGAAGCAAAGTTGCATCGTCTCGTCGACCCGCAGCTTGTTTCAAGTGATCTGAGCTGTCCTCCTCTCCCACGTCATGCCAAATCCCTGCACCCCAAACACCCTCCAGCCCCAAAAACCCCCCGACTCGCCCCGACACCTCCGCGCAAATTTCTTCAGCCCTGCCCTTTTTCTCGATGTGTACCCGCTCCAATGGCCCGGGGCTGCGGCGGACTCATCTCCGCTGGGCGCCGTGGTGCTGCTCTCCTGTTCCCAGCTACCTCGCGCCGGGGTTGGGTCGGCGCGGTGCGACGGCCAAAAGTCCCCCAAGCCTTTGGGGGACACCTCCCGGTTCCTTTGCAGTTGACACATCTTGGCAAATGCTGTTGTTGGATATACGACAATATTGGCAAGAATGGCAATATGTGCGTCCCGTTGTGCTTTGCAAGTTTGATGGATATTGGCAAAGGCTCAAGTCTGAACATGTCGGCCAAGTGTGGGCCTTTCCTTCTCAATTTTGACGGATATTGGCGAAGTGGCCCAAGTGTGGACGTGTCGGCCGATTATCGTGGGCTTCGGTCCAAAAGAATGGCCCTCTTTGGAAAAATGGAGGCCGCGTGCCCCGCCGACAGCTTAAGCTAGGCGATTGTGGCAAGACCAAAGTGTCCCCTTGCTCGCCACACACAGGAAGCACCTCTTGGTTGGCTTGAAAGAGAGACCAAGCCTGTCTTAACCTGTCTCGAAGGGGCCTATATGGGCATGCCTTTCAAAGTACCTTTCTTGAAGTTGTCCCTTCAAGGAGATCTCGGCTTCTTTCTGCTCACCTGCTAAAAGCTCAACATCTAGTGGTTTCATGGAAGACCCATTTGGCAAGAAGTTAAAGCCCTAACATCCCTTGGCAAAATGCAACAAAGAAAATAGGAACACATTTGTTTTCCCGAGGTTCCCCAAATCCCCCAATCCCCAAGCTCGAGTCCCCCTCAACCCTTTGACCCCTCAGGCGTCGGCTCTCGAGCGCCTTCCTAGCGGAAAGCGAAAGGCGGCGATCTGTTGACACGGAACCCGAGGAGGTCCATTGCCCACAGGGTTCTTTGGGCTCCATAACATCTGCATGTGTCTTCCTTACAGGGTTCAAGTTGACTCCTTCCGGAAGGAAGATCATTGATGAATTGCCAGTAAGGATGCTCAACCAAAGACCTGACACCCATAGTTTCTGCAGCCGTTGGCCATTGGTGGTCTCAAATCCCAATCCTGAAAAAAACAAACCAGAACCCGGCCACTTGGCTGAAGCCACGCTTCAGATGGCCAGGCTTGGACCTCCCCGCAAAAGAAGGGGGACAAATCCAGCCACGGCCTCCAGTGGAAAAGTGCTTCGAGGGACCTGCGGCTTGCGCGGTGCCGAAGTGCGGGGGCCCAAGTCCTAGGGGCTGCCCTTGTGTTCAAAATGCATTTTTTTCGGATGTCAAACTCCGGATGTCCGAAGGCCGACCCACATGAAACAAACTATTTAAGAGATTAACACAGCTTGCCAAGGAGATGAAAAGCAGAAAAATGCCGTCCTAGCACAAGGCAAGCGAGCGGATCAAACCATATCGGATCCAACTTGTCTGGACTCAGAACAAAAGCGGCTTCAACAGTTCAAGAAAAACACATGCGAGTGTTCGGAGTTTGGGACTTTTGTTTTGGAAGGTGAAATACATCTTATTCCAATTGGAAACGCACATATGGAACGCCCCCGCACGGCCAACGGCTTCGGTCTGGATCCGCCAACAGTGTTTGCGGCCATGCCTTCTTGCACCCACGCGCTTGCGGCCTGCGCGGACAGTTGGATCTCACATGAAGGACTCTGGAACAACCAGAGTCCACCAGCCTGAAATGGGTATGGGTCAAAATTGAACCACCAGGATGTGGACCGCAGGGTTTAGTCCATGTTTCCATTTACCAGGGCTCCATTTTGGGTACCTATTTTTGACGCACAGCCAAATGGGGGTTGATCAAAAGGTTCTTCACATAGCACCCCCGCGGCCAAATGAGGTCGTTATGTTTTGCCCAATGGAAATTCATGTCTGGAAGCAATCTGTGGATTGTCAATGCTTTGTGAGCTGGATGCCAATTGAGGAATCGCAAGTCGATCCAGCAAAAAAGCTCTAGTCTTCAGGTCCATCCGGGTTCTCAAAGCGTCCGATCAAAACAAAGTGAGAATTCCGGACAGATCTTTTTGAGGCTATAACCCAAAAGGAAATCACTTGCCTTGGACTGCCTTTCCAGCGGGTGGCTCACCACAAACTTCTCACATCTTGATACCACAACCAAGACCACCATCGGGATCCACCCTTTCGGAAGATCCTGCATCGAGGTTCCTCAGTGTCATCCGGGATGAAACCAAATCCCCAGACATACAATGTGCCTCAAAGTGGGGCAGGGCGCAAAGCAGGGTTTTTCTCCTGGTGGCTTCAACTTGTGTACAAGGGCGACCAAAAACGGGTTCCATATTCGGAGAAGCTCATTTAGGTGTCAACCTGAATTTTGGGGGGGTCTTTTGGTAGACCTGATTGACACAATTGACATGACATGATCATTTACGCCACCAGACACTGATCCAGGGTTCCCCGTCAAGCTGTATGTGAATGTATCCAAATAAGGACCAAAACTGAAGCCAACTCCCTCGCTTCTGACACAGCCATATGACTCATATGACAATCATTCAGCAGGGTCTTTGCTGAAAAACCGCCCCCCCGAACCAAATTCTCCTCACCGTAGTCAAATCCCAAAAGGAAGCCTGTCACGTTCCCCAGAAACCGGTCCCTAGAAACCAGTCAAATCCCTACAATCCACTCAGGCTGCCCTTCTGTGCGGCTCTTGTTCTATCTAGCACTTGAGGCCATAACATGCGCCCCTTGAACACTTCAAGGCAAACCGAAACACAGTACCTCAAAGCCAGCCAGAAGCATTGCGGGCAACACGAAGCGCTTACATTTCATCAACTTGACTCTATTAATACGGGATGTTCCCCTCCAAATGCGATGACTCCCCCACGAAACCCCGGGAACCCCCCCCCTATTAACAACTGGGGTTGACTCATGGGGCCAGGCCTTCGCGCGCTTCACGGTGGCACTCGGCCCACGGAATCGGCCTCCTCTGCAAAAACCCGCTCGGCCCCCTGTGGCACCATGTCTTTTGGTCTTCGTGACATGTCTTTCTTTGGCCTGGTGTCTCTGCCTTTGCTTTTGTAATGCGTATGCGTATGCATTAATGCGTATGCGTATAATGCGATAATGCGTAATGCGTATGCGCGTTAATGCGTAATGATATGCGTGTGCGTAAGTAATGCGTGTTAACCGCGTGTCATTAATGCGTAATACGTATGCGCATTAATGCGTGTCGCGTGTTACATCGTAGCGTCTCGCAGCGTCAGCGTCTGTATCTCAGCATCTTGGCGTCTTTGTATCTGGCAATGCCGCAACCGCGTCGCAGCGTGCAGCGTCTGTATCTGCATCTGCGCTCACGCATCTTGCAGCGTCTTTCGCGATCTGGCGATCTTGGCGCATCTGTAATCGCAGCTATCTGCTTATCTGCTTATCTGCCTTATCTGCATCACCGCATCTGTCACGGAAATGCAAATGCAAATGCGGAAGTAGGTAATATACATATAAATATGCGTATGCGTATGTGTATGCGTATGCGTATGCGTATGCGTATGCGTATGCGTGTGCGTAATGCGTATGCGTCATCATCTGTCGCATCATCATCATCACGAAAATAAATGCGGCTCATCATCTGCGATATGCGTATGCGTATGCGTATGCGTATAAGTATGCGTATGCGTATGCGCGCTGCGTATGCGTATGCGTATGCGTATGCGTATGCGTATGCGTATGCGTATGCGTATTATGCGTATATATTAATATATGCATTATGCGTATGCGTATGCGTATGCGTATGCGTATGCGTATGCGTATTATGCGTATGTAAATATGCGTATGTATATAAATATAAATAATAATAATAATAATAATAATAATAATAATAATAATAATAATAATAATAATATATATATATATATATATATATATATATATATATGTATATATGTATATGTATATATGTATGTATATATGTATGTATATGTATGTGTAATATGTCTGGCGCAACCGTTTTCCATAAATAATAATAATATTATAAAATAATAATATAAAAATATATATGTGTATAAAATGTAATATAAATGTGTATATAAGAGTAATAATTATGTATGTATAAATAATAATATTATAAGTATGTGTATATATGTGTATAAGTAATAATAATATAAAAGTAAAAATATAAAAGTAATAATAATATTAATATAAAATAATAATAATAATAATAACTATAATAATATAAAATGTATGTATATATATGTATAAATAATAATAATTATAATATATAGAAATAATAATATAGAAATAATGGGACATGTATAAAAATGTAATATAAAGTAATAGCCGTGTAGAAGTAATATTAATAATGTATAAGTATAATAATAAAGTAATAATAATAATAGTATAATAATATGAAATGTATTATAACGTGTAAAATGTGTGTGTGTGTGTAATAGCCAATAACATCTATTAATATATATAGTGTGTAATATGTGTGTGTAAGTGTGTGTGTGTGTGTGTGTGTATCTGCTCCTGTGTGTAGGTGTCTGCTTGTATATATTTTATATATATATATATATGTATGCGTGCGTGCGCGCCGTGCGCATGCATGCGCACGTGCGTGCGTAAGTGCGTGCGTGTCTGTGCGTCGCGCGTGCGTCGTGCGTCGCGTCATCGCATGCGTGCGTGCACATCTGTGCGTCATGTGTGCGTGCGTCGTGCATGCGTGCGTCTGCTGTGTGCGTGCGTGTGCGTGCGTGAAAATGCGTCGCATGCGTGCATCATGCGTCGCGATCGTGCGTGCGTGCGTGCATGCGTGCATATCATCGGCGTGCGTGCGCGTGCGTGCGTGCGCGTGCGTGCGTGCGCTTGCGTGCGTGCGCTTGCGTGCGTGCGCTTGCGTGCGCTTGCGTGCGTGCGTGCGTGCGTGCGTGCGTGCGTGCGTGCGTGCGCGTGCGTGCGTGCGTGCGTGCGTGCGTGCGTGCGTGCGTGCGTGCGTGCGTGCGTGCGTGTGCACATGTCCGCGGAGCGTGTCGCTTGTGCGCGCGCGCTGTGCGCACGCGCGGGAATGCACACACTTGCACATGCGCACACTCGCACATGCGCACAAGCGCACATGGGCGCACGCACAAGACCCTAGAGCTTTAATTCCCCTGCAACTCCTGGACCTGGCAGCCAAGCCATGATTGAGAAAAGGCCCTGTCAAAAGCAACACACCATCGAACAAAAGCGGCTTATATACTGCCTAGAGACTCGTTGGAAGTCCAGTCATGCTGAGTTCGTTCAGGCTTTGGGAAGCCCATTCATCTTGCCAGCTTCATAGAGAAGATGCCATGGCTCCGCAAGCAGTCGACGAAACTGCGCAAACGAAGCAGCACTCACGCGCTGAAGGGAAAACGGGTATGCGTTGCGACATGTTGCGACATAGCACACTTTCGTGCGCAGATTCAATCGAGAGGGCAACTGGACAAAGCACGCACTGAGCACCACACACACACACAACACTGTGCGCGCGTGTGTTTGCACATGCGCGTGCGCGTGTGCGGGTGCGCGTGCGCATGCGGATGTGCGTGTGCATGTGCGTGAGCGTTCTAAAAGTGGCATGCTTTTGTGTGGCTTTGGTGCTTGCGTACTTGGTGAGGCTGGAAGCATTGGCAAACGTGCAAACTCAGCGCAAAGACCAAGCTGACTGGAAGTCGGGAGGCGTTGCCTTGGATGAAGCCTGGAGCACGACAGCGCAGTGTTACCCCAAGAAGCTGGAAGTGCAAAACGAACGCGTGAAATCTGAATGGGCACGACATATACATGGCTCAGGTGTGGCTCCCGGGCCAAGGTCTCTGGGTTTGCCCAAAGCAAAAGCTGGAAAACATAAGAAGTGCTACGCACCTGGAGCCAACTTGTTCAGCCTTCGCCAAAATAAGGCCCCCCTTCCGAAGGCAACAACAGTGTTTGCTTGTTTCGTTGCTTGATTGCTTGCTGGCTTGCTGGCTTGCTGGCTTGCTGGCTTGCTGGCTTGCTTGCTTGCATGCTGGCTTGCTGGCTTGCTGGCTCGCTTGCTGGCTTGCTGGCTTGCTGGCTTGCTGGCTTGCTGGCTTGCTGGCTTGGCTGAATGGCTTGCTTGCTTGCTTGCTTGCTTGCTTGCCTGATTGCCTGCTTGCTTGCTTGCCTGCATGCCTGCTTGCCTGCTTGCCTGCTTGCTGGCTGGCTTGAACGCGCGTTCGTGAGTGCATCGTGCTTGCTTGCGTGCGTCCTTGCTTGCGTGCGTGCTTCCTTGCTCGATCGCTCGCTTGCTTGCTTGCTCGTGAGTGCTGTGTGTCTATTTTGTGGTTGCTTATTGTTGGTGTGTGTGTGTGTGTGCGTCCTTGTTGCCTCAGTGTCTCTTTCTTGGTCCTTCTCTTGTAGTGCTGATTGTTTGTCGTTATTGTTTCCGTGTTTACTGTGACTTGTTTGTTCCTTTGTCCTTCCCCCTATTGTTCGCTGTCCTTAGCGTGCTTTCTTGTTTGTCCTTGTTTGCTTCCGTTGCTTTGCCGTGCGCGGCTCTGTCTGACCATTCTCTCAGCTCCCCGCCGGGCGTGCGCTCAGATCGCGCACGGCACGCCCCTTGACGCGTGCATCAAGCGGCCGGCTGGAGGCAAAACATGCGCCACCCCCCCCCCCCCCCAAGCTCTTGGAAACACGAAGATGCTCCTTTTGGCATCCCCAAATTGCATGGGCGTTGTGTGCAATCCCCGAAAGGGCTCAAACAAACTGCGCCTCGGCAACCCAAGGTTGGCAAAGAAAGAGCCATTGGCGGTTCAAAGCCACGGTCTTTGCTTCCAAATTTGGGGCGAAGATATGGGGGGGAATGCCGAAAAATCAGGCCCCACCCCCCGCCCCTTGTGGATGGGCCAAAAGGGGATCAACCAGTAGGGGGGCCTTCCCCACACGCATGCAGCGCACCCTCAACGACTTTCGGCTTCATGCTGCCAAACAGGGGCACTTGCGGACTCTGTTGAATCCTCCTGCCATGGGAGATACAAATCTTTCATGCAAGGGATTGCGCAAGTGCGCCTTCAGGACTACCAAACATCACCTGGTCACACATTCCTTGACGGCCTCCTGCCACCAACCCCCCAGCCCCCCGTCGCCTTTCCGGTCGGCGCCACATCTGCTCCTGGCGGAAACTCGGCAGACCTTCCTCCTAACATGGAACTCACAGGAAGGTTCCTTGATGAAAATGGCCCAGATCTACCCCCCTTCATCAGGTTCCATGGCAACGTGGGAAAGTGTATGTCCAAACAACGTTCCAGTTTTCCTGACAAGAGAGTCCTTTTGAAGAAGGCCTCCTGCTCGTCAACTCGTGCGGCAGTGTACAGCTCAGGGTGAGCGTGAGTGCTAGACTATGTGAAAATGAAGGGAGCATATGGTGTTTGCAACAAAAATATCCAAGAGGTCCACCGCAGAGCCAGAAGGGGTGCATAAGCAAGGACCTGTGTGAAGAAGGGCCTAACTCAGGCGAGAATTCGTCGCTAGTTGCAGCTGCGAAAACCGCAACGAAGCGCCTCACATACAAAGTGCTTGATCGCTTGTCTTCATCTCGAGAAATCGGTGAACTGTTTGCGTGCACAGGTGCTTCGTAGAGGCGCCTGATTATAACGTCGAACCTCACATTGCTTCAATCGAAGATGTGATGCGCGGGGGTCCGGGCTGATCCAGCGTTGACAAAGCATCATGCCTCCGACTTTCTGACGCAAGGCATGCCTAGGCATGCCACACTTCAAAATGTGTTGTCATGCTCTTTGGGGGCAAGCCGCGTCTTTTCGAAAACTGGGACAGCAAACATTGCCCCAAAGTGTGCGAGTCCTTTTTCAATCCATGCCCGCGCCTGGTGCGGTCCCTCATCGGCGGGACAGGGCCCGCCCCTGCTGAGCCCGCTGGCGACCGCGCACGCCAGTGGAAAGCTTTGGGGCCTCCCAGCTGGGCTGGGGCTTCGGGAGGGTTGCGGCATTGCCGAACTGTTGGGATATGCGCAGGGCTTATTTTGGGGGGTCCTCAACATGGGAAAAAGAGGTCCAGGACTTGGAACGGCGGAGTCCGTAAATGTTGAAAGTGTTGTTTGCTGTGGTTTTGGTTGATATACTTGCCAAGTTTGGGCAATCCACCGGTGGACGATGAATTTGTGGCCCCCATTGCAATTCTCTTGTTCCGAAGGTTCCTCCAAATCTAAAGCCTTTTGGGCTTGTCTCCAAACGCAGCTTCCACAACCAACTCTACCAACCTGGACCAACCTAGTAATGATGACTCGTGTAGCCCCACCAACGAGAGTTTTGGGCGTCGCTCAACTGCGGGAGCCCCGCAAATGATGATTTGGCATGGTCAACGCATCCCCAAACGCTGCGCGCAACGAACTGCAAATCCTTTTGGTGTGCCACAAGACTGTATCAGGATCATGCCGGCCCCCCAAAACTCCTAAGCGAAAAGTGCAGCTGCCTCGAGCTGACTAGGCACTGGCAACGAAGCGTTGCTACAAAAGCAGGCGAATTCATGCTGGATGCATTGCCAGCGAATTAAAATTGGCTTGAGCTTGCCTTGTTGGTGGCAACCGGCAGCCACGTGACAGGAACAAGATTCCAAGTCCTGCCACGCCTTCAAAACTTCACCCATAAATCCGAGGCGCCCTCACCCCAGCCTAACAATTTTGGGCCAATCCTAGGCTCACCGCCTCACCGCGGGCTCACTGCCAGACGCTAATGTCAGACAAGATCAGCTGAGAGCCAATCGCACCGCCGCATTGGTTCACACAGGAGTGAGAGCCCCAGAAGCAGGGCGCGCCACCGTATCCCCCCACCGCGATGTTCAGCACGATCTTCCTAACGAAAAATGAAATGAATGCAGCTCGCGGTTCATCTCCGTCTCCCCTTGCAACCAGGTCTCGACAGCGCCAAGTCTGCGCGAAGCGCAAGCCCAATCTGGATGCTTCCCCCAAAAGAGTCGGGGCACGTTGCGCCAACTTTGCGGGGCGACTTTTTTGGAGTCGTGCGCTTGTGGGAACGCTGGCTCATTGCAAGCCGAGGAGCATGGGAATATCAAAGGGCGCGTCTGGCTCGTGCCGGCCAGGGTAGCACTTGTGCATGTAAGCCTTCCGTGTGCTCTCGCTTGTAAATGTCCGCAAACCGCACCCATTTGGCACCCTGTTTCCAACAAACATAGAAGTGCACAGAGTTTTGGAGAAAAATACCAGCCCCTTGTCCACGTCCATTTGTTCGTAAAAAGGTTAACCTCAGCAAAACAGGCCGAAAGCGGCAACAACAGCAGCAAAAAGCAAAACGGCTCCGGCCCGGTCCTCAACCGCCTTCCAAGTCGGGGTGGTGTAGCGGTAGTAGGTCTTCACCGTCGGCTGGCCGTCTGGGCGAACCTTTGCCTCGCATGTTGCTCTGTATTTATCTATTTAGGTATGGGTCAAATTTAAACCGCCAGGGGACCGCAGGTTCTAGTCCATGTTTCCATTTACCAGGCGATTTTGGGTACCTATTTTTGACCCACACCCATTTTTTCCGGGAGGACGTCAGCTTTCATTCGCAGTCGTTTCGATTTCCGGAAGTCCCGAAGTCCCTCTCATTCAGCAAATTCGATCAATTCTGACGCATTTCTGAAGCCTCAATGAACGGGGCACGAGCTCGCTTTCTTGCCATAATAGAGGCACTCACGCAGTCCCAAACACCCACAAACACACACCCCAGCCCCCCTCGCCGCGCAGGGGCGCGCCTGGACTCCCACCATTTTGCCGGCGGCATCATAGGACAGCGTGGGGTCCACATAGGTCGTGAGCGCATCCTTCTCCCACAGCAGCACGAAGAGGTGCTCGTCCCAAGAGTTCTGCCCCGCGGCGCAGTTGACCTCCTGAAGGCCAGGGCCTTGACCGACGGTGTGACGGTCAAAGGAAAAGCCAAATGGCTAAAGAGGCGGAGAAACTGAACAAAGAGCCAAGACGAAGGAAACTCCAAGGGATCCTTGGGCCCAATTCGCAGCAGCCCCTAAGCCTTTCCAAGTTGGCGGGCAAACCAAAACTATTAGAAGCTTGGATCACATCGCCTTCCTAAAACACGAACGCACAAGGCGCTTTCTCCTCCCTTTCAGCCTCCCCTTAGCTTGGATTCGTGGTTTGGAGGCCAGGGATCGTCTTTTTTTTCGCTTCGAAACATTCTGCGCATCCCAAAGAAGCTGGAACATCGAAACCAAAAAGACAAACCTTGGGACAACAAAAAACAAACCGTGTAGTGCGTGAGGCGCCATCTTCCATGTGGCAACCCCTACAAATGCCTCGCTGGTTTCGCTTTTTCACGCCATCCCCTTCAACCACTCAGGGCCTCCTTTTGCCGCTTCCCCCCATCCGCCCCATCCTCCCATCCGTCCCCCAAACCCCCAGCCGCCCGGGTCCTCCACCATGAGATGGGACGCCTCAGCGTTCGCCAGCGTGGTGGAGGTGCAGTACGCCGGGGCCGCGCAGCTGTTGCAGCTGATGGCGTTGGGGTCGAAGCAGCCGCCATAGGAGCCGAACCCGGCCACCTGGGCGGCTTCAAAACCGATCGGTATTAAAAATGGAGTCCCAAACCGACGTAGAGAACTACAAAGGCGGCTGCAACCAATTAATTCTGGCTGGGATTCTCTCTTACTAAGCTGCACTTACCCGGGTTTGGATGGGCTCACCTGGCTATCAGCTCAGCTCCTGGGTGGTGGTTTGGCTCCTGAGAGCTGGCCATCGTTGGCCTTTCAAGCCAAATCCCCCAAATACCAAGGACAAGGCCGCCCCCAAAGGTTTGGTCGGGTTCCATGTTCATTTGCACTGGAGAGGATTGGTGTGCCTTAAGAGACCCAGCCATATTGGAAACTGTAGAAAAAGAAACAAACCTGAGAAGCCTTCTTAGACAATGTTCTTTGAAGGGTTTTGAGAAAAGGCCTTGCCCAAACTCCCGAGCTTCGGCTCCAACCCGGGTGAACGGTTCTGTTCCACCTCACTACCCTGAGATGGCCAAGAGCAATCCACTCGCGGCTAAGGCGAATTTTGGCGTTCTCTTCTTTTCCCTCTTCCCACCCCACATTTTGGGAGGTACTCTTGGCGCCAACCGCGCGGTACAAAGACGCAAAGACGTAGCCCTCGGCCCCCGACGAGATTGAAAGCTCCATGGGGATCGCCATGGACCGTCTCCTGCGCTTTGCTGAGACCATGGCCCGAAGAGCAAAAGGGCCTCCAACGATCTCCCTGTGAAAGGCCCCTACGTTAACATCAAACCTAACACAATGAAAGAACAAGGTCAGAAGAAACGTGAACAAAACCAACAGCCAAGCATGCACAAAAAAAGAGAAGCAAGCAAACAAAACAAGCAAACAAATCCAAAAAATAACAAACCAGTGCCAAAAAAGGAGCACCAAAATCACCAACCCACCATTCCAAGCCACCAGTTACAGTCTACCTGTGTTTTTTTTTTGCGTCGGTCAAACAGGGTATCAAGTCATGGGGGTGGGGGGGAGGGAGGGGAGGGGGGGGGAGCCTAAAAACCCTTATTAAGGCCTTATTTAGGGCTTGTTTATCTCCCCCCCTCCTCCCTCCCTCCCTCCCCTCCCTCCCTCCCCTCCCTCCCCTCCCTCCCCTCCCTCCCCTCCCTCCCTCCCTCCCTCCCCTCCCTCCCCTCCTCCCTCCCTCCCCTCCCTCCCCTCCCTCCCCTCCCTCCCTCCCTCCCCTCCCTCCCCCCTCCCTCCCTCCCTCCCTCCTCCCTCCCTCCCCTCCCCTCCCTCCCCTCCCTCCCCTCCCTCCCTCCCTCCCCCCCTCCCTCCCCTCCCTCCCCTCCCCCCCCTCCCTCCCTCCCTCCCTCCCCTCCCTCCCCTCCCTCCCCCAAAAAATACATAAAATGGCACTTCTAACATCAAACCCAAATAATCAAACAGCATACAACAAAATCTGCAAAATTCACAGAAAATAAGATAAGAACCACCAAGCAACTCAAAAACCAGAACAACCCCCAACAAAATATTTAATCAAAGCATACAACATTAAATAATTCAAACAAGCATACCAACAAAACAGCAAAAATAAAAACCATCAAAGAACACAAACTCAAAAACACACAAAATCAAAAACAAAGCAACATACCATCAAAAAATATCAGAAGAGTATCAAACAAAATAAAAAACAAACAGTCAAAGCACGAAAAAATCAAAAGAGCATACCAAGTTCAAACAACGCACTTTGAAAGAGATAACCAAATCAAGAAAAATAAAATATTTCAATCTTTACAAACTATAAGTACAGTATAATTATAACATATAAAATTTTACATGTTATTATTATAGTATGATTATAATTTCAGTACAGGATAATAATTTAATTGACAAATCTTTCTTCTTTCATACATCATTTTAAAAATAATATTAATATCTCTCAATGTATTTTGAATATTAAACTTTTTACTTTCAATAAATAATTTGGTATTTTCTTTAACATCTTCTCCTTTCTCTTGACTATAGCCCAACATCCATAATATATCATAAATCATTTCATATTTTTCTTACTGATTTTAAGAAACTGTTTAACATAATCATAAGGTGGTATTTTATTTACAGTTAGAAATATTAAAATCTCATCTTCTACATTTCTATTATGTCTTCCTTTTATTCTCAACAGACATTTGATTAAAAATTGATTATCTCTCCATTCCTGACAATTTTCACATTGGTCTTTTTCATCCATTGAATAATTAATAATATTATTCACTGTTTCATTAGGTAAATTCAATTTATACAATTCCATATTTTCTTTTTTGAAGTGACAACAATCATAGCATTTTTTATTGATATAATTATTGATTTTATCACCGTTCATTTTCCTCTTATTATATTAAGGCACTATTTCTTTAAGTCATTTTTAAGGCATTAAGAAAAATAAGAAACAAACCATAAGTTCAATATAATTATAACATATAAGATTTTACATGTTATTATTATAGTATGGTTTTAATCAAAGTCATTAGTATTTAAATATTCCTTCGTAATCTTTGGTATTTGTTTAAAGTTCTTTTTATTATTTTTAAATGGATATTTTCTATCAGCAAAATCATAAATGCAAAAACCTATGCTCCAGTTTCCTAAAACACTTTTAATATCATTTATCACATCACCATACATTAATTTGCCTATTATATTGTTCTTCTGTTCATCCTTAATATAATCACATATTTTATCAATTATGATTTTCAATTCTTGGTTTCTTTGTTTTATGTAGTTTAAAAATGTTTCCTTGCAATCATTTTCAATTTTATTATTTGATAAATCATACTCATCAATAAATTTAAATATCATTTTATTATTAAATTCTTCAATTGGTCTTGTTGTTCCAGTTTTGCCACCATAACTAACTTCATATGATTGTTCGTAGTAATATTTAATATCATTATAAAATTTTAAAATATATGTTTCGTTATCTTGCAGTATATATTTTTTCACTTTTTCATATGTAGGAAATGTATTTAACTTTATAAAACAATTTGTTCTTAATGATGAGTCATCATTTAGAAATGTATTTTCTTCAAATTTCAAGTTGTATTTATCATAAATACATTGTCTCAATGTTGAATGTAAATTACTTTTATGTAAAACTTGCTTTGCATTTCTTAATAAAAAACATTTCTCGCATTCAACATAATAAAAATCACAAATGTTTTAACAATTGGATTAGGTAAATTTAACTTAGTTAGTCCAGTTTTTTCATTTATTAGTTTACATTTACAACTACTGATAATGTCATTAACTTTTATTTTATTCAAAAAGTCATTAATAATTTCTTCTTGCTCTTTTTTAGTAAATTCAACCATTTCTATTATAATATATTAAGGCATTAATTCTTTAAGTGTATATTTTCTAAAAAGTCACTTAAAGAAATAAACACATTAAATTTATATAGTATAGTATTATGAAACATGTTATAGATTATCTGTTGAATAATGATAAAGCGGAAATTCCAAAAAGAGGAAACAAGGAATTAAAATCAATAATTATAGATGGTAGAAAATTTAGATACAACAAAGAAAAACCCATCTCAAATGTTTTGAACAAGAAATTAAAATCAGAAGCAAGAACTAATGAGTATAATAGTTATGCAACAAAAACATTGCGCTCAACATACCTAAAACAAAGAATGAAAAATGCAATGACAAAATATACAATCAAAAATAAATTCCAAGTAACAGACCAACAATCAGCTTTCAAAAGTTATGCTAATTCTATAAAACTAGTAAATAAACATTTTCAAGGTGAAAAGGCACTATCAATGATACACCACCAAAAAGATAGACTTTTGACCTTTTTGAAAACTAATAGAGCAATGAAACTGAATATAAGGGCAGAAGGTTTATTTTATCATTATTATGATGATGATGGAGTAATAAAACATACAGAGATACTTTATAATTTACCTGCAACAAGGGCAAACATATATAATGAAACCGATTTGGATGAAGCAATTGAAAAATCAATCAAAGAGATTTTATTGAACATAGAGAAACTAGAAGGTTCAGCGTCTAATTTACAATTTAAAAAAATATTATCAATAACAATCCATTATGACAAATATGACCCTACTAGGGTGGGTAGTTATATAGATTTACCAGAATGGATTAAACTAAAAAAGGCATGTATTAATATCAAAAACAAAGATAACAAATGTTTTAAATATAGTGTTCAAAGTGTAGTGTTTGATATAATTAATAAATCAAATTCCCAAGAAATGTTCCATTACAACAAATTAAATGACAATATCTTAAACTGGGAAGGTGTTAAATTTCCAACTGGTAATAAAGATATTGAAAGGTTTGAAGAAAATAATAGTAAGTTAGTTTCAATCAATGTTTATGAAATTGATGATACTTTGAATGAAAAGAAAATTATAATTGATTACAGAACTAAAACAAGAGATGCTAAACATCAAATAAACCTTTTGAAAATTGAAATCAATAATAATAATCATTATGTAGTTATTAAAAGTCTAAGTCGTCTAATGAACTGGCAAACAAACAAAAATGACCAACCAAAACATTATTGTCATTATTGTTCTCATGCCTTTACTAGAAAGGATTTATTAACAAAACATTATGAAACTGGTTGTGTGGCAACACATGGACAACAGTTTAAATTACCAAAAGAAGGTAGTTATATTGAATTTGAAAAATACAATACAAAATTAAAATGTCCATTTGTTGTTTATGGAGATTTTGAGTGTATAACTGTAAATTCAAATAATGGTATCAAGGGCACGTATCAGGAACATAAACCATGCGGTTATATGTTGAATGTTGTAAATTCTATTGATAATACAAGTCAACCTTTTTTATACCGTGGAGAGGATTGTTTAGACCACTTTGTAAATAAATTAAGAGAAATTAAAAAAGATATGTTTGATAAAATGAATGTTAATAAACCAATGGATATTACAGATGAACAAGAAGCAGAATTTAGAAAAGCTACTGTATGTTCAATATGTAATAAGAATTTTAAACCAGAAGATACAAAAGTTCGTGATCACTGTCATTTTACGGGTGAGTATAGAGGTTGTGCTCACGAAAAATGTAATTTGGATTATTCATTTAGATATTTCAAGATACCAGTATTTTTTCATAATTTAAAAAACTATGACTCTCACTTAATAATAGGCAAAGCAAATGAAATAAATAAGGAATTGAACGAAAATAAGAGAATAGATGTAATAGCACAAAATAGCGAAAAGTTTATTACATTTTCATTTGGTTCATTACAGTTTAAAGATAGCATGGCTTTTCTCTCAGCATCTTTGGATAAATTAGTTAAGTTAAATAAATATGACATAGTAGGTAAAGATGAACATGATAAACCTATATATAAAAAGCGGAATGACTGGAAGGATAATTTCCGATTTTCATCAGCAAATCCATATATTAGAAATAAAACTGATTTAGACAGAAAAACTGAAAAAGGAGTTTATCCTTACGACTACATGAACTCATTTGATAAATTCAATGAATCGCAATTACCAAGTATAGAAGACTTTTACAGTCAATTATATGAAGAAGGCATAACAGATACACAACACACAAGGGCAAAAGTAATATGGGATAATTTCAATATCAAAAACCTAGGTGAATACCATGATTTATATTTGATGACAGATGTTTATTTGCTTAG